TAAAATTTAAAAAAGTAACTTTTAGCCGAGATAATAATTTAAGATTAGACAGATGAATACTTTGCAACTATTTTGTCAAATCCGTAGTGGCAAACTTAATAGACTTATGAGCTTATGCAAAATTATGTAGAATTTAGAATGGCTCTATTTAATCGGGTTAATCAGTTTCTTATTTAGGCCCATTGGCATACAACACTTCAACGGGCAACTTCTTTTTAATACGCAGTGAAGCTCCAGGCTATCCGCAAAGACTGAAAATCGTGACTAGGCAATCGGAGGTCGGTACAGGCACTCGATTTGCTTCCTATTTAAAATTATGGCAAAGGCTTATACATAGATGCCTCACCAGAGGAAAGTTCTGTTTCAATATTAAGGGTTCCAATCAAAGTGTCTGAAGCATTTAAGTTAGTATGCATGTTCAAATAACAGCTGATAGCAGAGAGCACAGGCCTTTTCTCTGTCAAAATTAGAGGGGGACATTTTGAAACTCTCCTCCGAAACGAAATACCTAGGCAAAATATATAAATATGAAGGCCAGAGCTAAGATAGATGTTTATGAAGGGTTACTCTTACGTCGCCGTACATCACCTATGGTAGATAGTACATACATATGTACATCACAATCATCAGACCGATTGTAGGCCATGCCGTCGCTTGCTTGGGAATTTGTAAAAGCTATCATGTCTAAAGCGGTGAGTAGCGCATACGCCAGCAGGCGGAGTTTAGTTAAAAAAGAACACCAGGATTAATGGAATCAGAGTTGTTTTAGAACTCAGCACTGCCGGTATTACGTTGATTTAAGACCTCTATACAAGAAGGCCTACATATACGTTTTCTGCTCAGAGACGAATTAGGCCTGCCAGTTTCTCGAAGAAACCGGCACCTACATATGTCTCTCGTATGCCTCCCGGAGGTACTGCAGATAGTGTTAGTATTTTCGTCTGTCAAAGGAAACAACATTTAAACAACTCGGTTTAAATTGGAAAAATCTATATCGGCGTCGATAGCCTAGCGGCTTTTTAAGTAGTGACATCGGAGATTGTACGGAAGTGTCGTGCCACGTTGGCATACATATCTAGGCCATCTCAACATCACTCTTTGCCAGCTGATAACTTAAGCAGGTATGGCTCCGAGATTTCGATAAACGAGACAGAAAACTAACGTTTAGGAGCATATGCGGCAAATTACACCATAGTCAGTCGTGGAGCCTTCAGTATACCAGAAGTGGCTGCCTCTCCGGCGATTTGTTCTTTCGTTGTCCTAATTGGTTGTGTTAGGAAAATATATGGAAGTTGAATCTCTAAAAGCTGATGCGCGACGTTTTCTCTTGTTTTATAACCCTGAGAGCTTATGTGGAGGCAAGTCTAGAGCGCCGCGGTGCGGAGGTTGGTATTGTTGTGCACTTTGAGCGACCTCTAAATTTTTTTTATTTCAAAATAAAAAAGCAGGGTTATATCTTTTTTATATATAGAACAATCCTAGGGGGTGGAGCATTAAAATTCTGACTTTGCTTATTTTACAAAGGAAAATCCACTTTTTTAAATTTCCCCAAACTGAAGGATATCGAAAATAACACCCGATTTTGGTATTTTAAAATTGGTTAATATTTAACCGTGCCGCCGGGGCTTTGAAGTTTTCCATATATGTTATATACATAGGAGAATAATTTTTTTTTTACCACTGCTATAGAATTGTTGAAATTAATATTTTTTGATCAAATAAAAATATTTCCCTAGAAAAATATTAAACAAAAATTATACTATTTTTTCATAACTTGCGTGATTTTGTTACGAATATATAAAGTAACGATTTTAATATTATTATTGAGCTTTGTACCATGATTATTTTTTTAGAAAAAAATGGTAAAGGCAACAAAGTCTTAGTGGTAGAAGTTATAGCAGCTATTTCGGAGATCGCCACATCTCACCTTCAGACTTCTTTTTCTTCCAGATTTCAGCAGCGTTGAGCACTGACCTATGCACACCCCGTAAACTCGTGTTGCTAATTCATTTTCCTTATTTAACTTACTGCTATCAAGTGCAACTGATTTGCCGCTAATTAAACTTGAAAGCGTGGTTGTTGTTGTCAATAAAGAGTTTTTGTTTATTAGAGATAAGGCTGTTGGTTTTGAAAAAGTAGTTAGTAAAATTTTAAGGTTACATATGCATCACAGTTTTGTTTTGAAGATCTCTAAAAGGAAATATTCTTATTCGATCAAAAAATATTTCTTTTTAACATTTTAAAGCAATTCTAGGGAGATTTGTATTTTCCAAAAGTAAAATTTACCTACATATGGAAAACTTCTAAGTCTCGACGGCGCGGTTATATACAGGGAACGAAAATATTCAGATTTTTATTTTTAAATCATTGCAAAATCGTTATTTTTTGATTTTTTTTTATCTAGAATCACTTTTAACCGTTATCATGGAGACTTTGTTTTTATAACCGATTTAAATTATGATATAAAAAATCTAAAACTGAAAATAACGGTTATGATCGAAAAAAAATAAAAATCAACAATTTTTCAAAAAACAAAAGTGCAAAAATAACGATTATTTTTGCTCGAAAAAATATTACGAGGGCTTATATTCGGTACCCTCTGTCTGCAATTTTCACGAAAACTACTTTGTAATGTTATCACTGATGATAATTCTGACTTTGCAATTTAATAGTAAACCCTTCTGCCAAACGTTATACAAGGTTCGTATTAATATCGTCGATGACAGCTAAGTCTTAAATAGGTAGATTTTTATATCAGAATCGCATTTTTGTGAAAAGATAGAGGGTATGGAATGTGAGCCCTCAATAAATCATAAAATAACGCTTAAGTTTTATCGGATAAAAAGAAATCCAATTTCAACGGTTAAATTGTGATTTTATTATAAAGATCATAGCCGTTACGGTCCCCTTTTATATATTAACCGATTTTAAAGTTAAAAAAAATCCGGTCGCTTTATTTTCGATACTCTTCAGTTCTGAGGCGTGGCTGGAAAAAATTTGTAACACCCTAATGTACATATGCGCATGTAGTTGTCCACAAAATAATAAGAGTGCGATATTTTGACCAGTTTTGACTATTTTTCTTTTGTTTGTTCAATTTTTATTAATTTTTTATAAACGATAGCTCTTTACTTAAGAAAAAACACATATGTAGATCAAAATTTTAAACTCTGTGCAAAAATTATAAAAATTCAACAAATTTTCAGCAAAGTTGAAATTTTTTTTGTTTTTTTACCGACTTCACAAAGATGAGAAGGTTATCTATCAGATCGTCGGAATATTTTTTTTGTGTATCCGCATAGCTTTGGCATAGCATAACCGATTTCGATAACTATTTTTTCATCGGGAAGGTGGTAACTCAAGGGTGGTCACATACTTATTTTGTTTAGATCCGATAATTCCATCGTAAAGAAATTAACGATAACCTTAAATTTATATATGAGAATTGAAGTCGCTTTTGTTTTTTGCTTAAAAATTACTTGTTATTTGTTTTTTTTTTTTAAGAGAAACAATTATTAATAATTGTTCCACTTACAAACTAAAGCAGAGCTTTCGGCTTAAGTAAAAAAAACGAAAATTTATTTCTATTAATTATATGAGTAAAGAGCGGAGATTAGAGTTAAAAGATAATATTAATAATAATAATTCAGAGAACTAACAGTGTTTAAAAATTTTTTAATCAGAATTTTTACAAAAATTTTGGGTATGCAGTTTTATAGCCCATTAAATTTTAGTGTAGTAAAGTGCAAGTGGCTAAAAATAAAATACCGTTGATTTTTGGCATTTTATTTTTACGGTGTCACGTATTTTCCTCAATACAACAAAGTGCGCTGGACTATTTTTTATATGGAAGACATGACAGCAGCGTGGAAAAAAAAATCTCATAAATCAGCGCGATTTTTTAGCAACTTCAAATTTTTCTAAAAGTTTTGAAATTCTGGTGAAAATTTGTTGAATTTTTGCACAAAGTTTAAAATTTGGATTTATGTGGTTTTGTTAGATAATAATGAGCTACACTTTTATAAAGCATTAGACAAACAAAAGGAAAATAGTCAAGCCTGGTCGAAATATCGCAAACTTATTATTTTGTGGACAACTGTATATATGTATGTATGTACATATATAATGCATGATTTTCATTGAATTTTTAATTACACTCAAAACAACACTTCTTTTCGTGTATAACTCTGCAGCTGTACAGGTTTTTACTCCGAACTATGTACATACATACATATGTACGTATTCGTATGTGCGCACGCAGACATAAACGCACTGAACACATAAATAAAAACCAAATAAAACAAAAAGCGTTTACAACCAAAAGGCACAAAACTACTGAGTTTTCATAAGTACATACGTACATATCGCGCACCGTCTTCAAAAGAGTCACAACTCAAAATTTGGCATTTTCGAGATTATGCGCTAAAAAATGTACGCAGAGCTTTTATATCCCTTTTAGCAAAACCTGGAGCAAATTTTTGTTATAATTTGTTAAAAAAAAACAACCTAAGGTAAATTCGCCCTTGCCCATATGATTATCATGTGCTAAGAAATAGGTTTTCGCATTTTCTGACAAACCTATTATTTTGAGTTGTGACTCTTTTGAAGACGGTCTGCGATATGTATGTATGTAAGTACATTCACTAAATACACACATACATACATATGTGAATAAATTTTTTTTTAATAGCAACTAATAACTAAAAAATTGACTTCAGCACGCAGCAATTGTTTCGATTAATTGCTTTCAAAGATACTTTGTGGAAGCTAAACAATTCCCTTCGCCTTTCGATTTTTCTGAATTAGGTCAATATGCATTGCTTTGCTGTTTTGTTTTTTTTTTTTTCATTTATGCTCACACAAGCATAAATAGTACACAATTCGAATGGTTTTATTCAAATTCATTTGTTTTGTATTTACATACTTACATACATACATACATATATATCAATGAGGTACATATGTATGTATGTAATTAATTCAAACTGAAGTGTATTTACTTTTTGATTTAATTGTTGGCACTTGGTTTTTCACTTCGTCTCTGTTTTTTTTTTGTTTTGTTGTCATCCACAAGCAACAAAGAAAAACACTTTTCAATACATTCGATCGTTTACTTAGGTAACTTTTCCGTCGTTTCCCCAGGCGCACGTTTTACGGCCGAATATTTACGCTCGACTGTTGGCTAGCGACTATTGCTGGCAATGGCAATAAGGCGAGCGAGTCCAACAACTCAACGCGCCTGTATTTTATCATTGCACCATGAATGCTCTCTCCATACGGTGCTCTCTTTCTATGTGTTTACTTCTTTTGATTAAAAATATCTAGTGCACGATCGTCAATGCATTAAAGCAAATTTGGAACTTTAAGCGAATGTGGGTGCCACAATACCCTACACGTATAAAGTACATACATACTTCCTATAAACTTATCATAGTTATACGCCACCCACATACTTCAGGCAGCTTTGCAATTCACTTCCGAGCGAATTTCAACCCCTGGCAATTTGAATTCAAATTGAAATTCACTTGGAAGTGAATTGCAGAACCTGCTTGATTGTTAAGTTTGACTATTAATTTTTTATTTGTTTAATTTTAATTAGTTTTTTTGTGTAAATCCAAGTTTCAAACTTTGTGCAATATTTAAAAAAAAAAAATCAACAAATTTTTTTTTAGATTTCGTAGAAAAATTTTGAGTGGCAGTTTTGTAGCGCAATCAATTTTTGATAAAATTCAAAACGTATATTGGGGGCTATGAAAAATACCTTTACGATAAGTGTATCCGCTAGGTGGTGCTATAGTCTACATATATATTCTTATTATCTTTACTTACCGTTCGATTTTGATGAAATTAAAAACGTATACTTCAGATGTGATGAGAAATATGATGAGATATTGGAAAGGTACCTACATATGCTGCTGGTGCGATTAGAAATACCTTAAAGAAAAATGGATCCGATAGGTGGCGCTGCAAAACAACCAAATGGAAAGAGTGCACTGCATATATAGTATCGGTCTGATCTATAGCACGTCATTTCAAAGTGAAATTGTTTGCCACTATTAATTATTTATTTGTTTTTAAGAACTTTCAATTAAAATATAGTTCATCCTCAGACAAGCCCCATATAAACCTAAGTTTAACAATTTGTAGAAAACTACAAAAAAGTGCAACAAATTTTCACCTATTTTTCAAACTTTTTTCTCGGAAGTGTTAGAATTTTTTCGATTACACAGTTTTTTAGCCCTTTCAATTTTAGTCTGATAATGTGCAAATTTTAAGTGGCCAAAAATTACCGTTGATTTTTTATAATTTTTTTTGTCACATTGGCTTCCATATAAGGAATAAACTAAATTTATTCGTATATGGAAGAAATCCGCAACACCTTTGGCGAAAAAAAAATCTAAAAAATCAACGGTAACTTTTAGTCACTTGAAACTTGCCCATTATCAGGCTAAAATTGATTGGGCTATAAAACTGTGTATTCAAAAAAAATCCAACACTTCCAAGAAAAAAGTTTGAAATTTGGGTGAAAATTTGGTGCACTTTTTTGTAGTTTTTTACAAATTGTTAAACTTGGGTTTATGTGGGTTTTATTATAGAAAAAACTGTATTTTAATTGAAAATTCTTAAAAATAAATAAATCAACATAAGTGGCACACAATATCACTTTGAAATGGCGTGCTATAGATATGACCGATACTGTATGTATGATGAGAAATACACTTACCAAAAATAAATCCATTTCTTGGCCCTATGGTCGAGATTTCCGGAAAATCTATATTTATGGATCGACTTAGTTCAAGTATAATAATGGAAACAGAGTTCAGGTGTGTATTTAATAGAAAATCTGTAAGTTTGTGATATATTTGTCAACAACGCTTTCAGTATGAAACAATCTTCGAGCATTATTGCTAATTTTTAAAAAGGAGTAAACTATGCCAACAAACGGAGTCGCCAGTATCAGCTATTTCTATTTTTTATTTTGTTATTTTTTTTTTGTAAAAATATAGTTAATTCTGCAATAAAAACCATACAAATCAATGTTTAATTGATTTTTATATTTTGACGGTGCTAGGTATTTTCTTCCATTTAAAATAGGTGCAACGAAAAAAATTCTCAGAAATCAACGCGAGTTTTGAGCCACGTCAAACATACGCTATAATGTATTTAGTAAAATTGAATGGGCTATAAAACTGCTTACATATAAAAAAATGAATCTTTATGAAAATTTGTTCGTTGAGTTTTCATATATTTTGTAGAAAATTTGAAACTCTGGCTTGCATGTTTACATGTTTATTGTACATAGAATTGCCTATATTCTTATAAAAAATATTTAAAATTAAATAAAAGGATATTAAATGGTTCTTAAGTTTAATAAAGTATTACAATCTATATACATATGTATATAAAAATGTGGTGTTCGTATGTCACGGTCGTCAAAACTCGAGAACAGTTGAACCGATTTGAATAATCCTTTTTTTTGTATTGTTCGGTATAAAACCAGGATCAATTGGAGGGTTGCCACCTATTTGAAAATTTTCAAACCCAATTGTATTGATAAAATAAATGAGTTATTACAATATGGGTATCAAATTAAACTGGTTTAAGAAAGATAACTGTTGGAAATATTTTTGAGGTGGGTTGCCACCTAATTGAAAATCTTAACTCAATCAAATTGATAAAATAAATGAAATGCTGCAATGTGGGTGTCGACCAAAGAGTTTAACGAAGGCTGACAGCCGAAAATATGTTTGAGGAGGCTTGCCACCTTGTTGAAAATTTAACTAAATTACATCGATAAAGTAAATGAAATATTACAATATAGGTATTAAGTTATAGAGGTTTAAGAAATATAACTATTTGAAATATTTTTAGGAGGGTTGCCACCTATTAAAAATTTTAACTCAGCTAAATTGATAAAGTAAATGAGGAGGGTTGCCACCTATTTTAAAATTTTAACCCAGCTAAATTGATAAAGTAAATGAAATATTGCAATGTGGGTATCAAACTAGAGTTTTAAAAAACCTACAGTCGAAAATATGTTTTGAGGAGGGTTGCCACCTGTTCGAAAATTTAACTCAATTAAATTGGTAAAATAAATGAAATCGGTACCAAACTAAAGGCATTTGAGAAATCGTGATTAAGAAATATTTTCAATAGGATTATGCGCTAAATGTAAAGACTGCAAATATTGGAACTAAGTAAAAAATTACATAATTCGTTCCAAATGAAAAGTGTTAGGGGACGCTTTACTAGAGTTTTTTTATGTTTCCACTTATCCAAAAGCCGAACAGTTTAAATGAAAAAAGAATTTACAAAATCTTATCAAACGAAGTGATTATATTATCAGCCAAGAGTTGGTATACAAATTTCGCAATGAAAAAATAATAATAATAATAAATATAAATTCCTACTTACATAAGGCGACCACGTCTTTGTTAAAGTAAGAGAGATTCATCAGTGATGTCTTAAGGACCGCCGGGTGAAGTGTAACTTGCTGGTAAGGTATTACCCTTCACCCGGTTGTCCTTACCACTTTCCTGCCGAATCTCCATTACTTTAACAAAAACGTGGCCGCCTTATGTAAGTAGGAATAAGAATGTACATTTGGTATCAGACATACCTCTGAGCCGGTTTACAAAGTAAGCTACGCATAATGCAGAGCAGTCGCTCGGAGTAGTTCGGCGCGTGGAAATAACTTCGGCTGCACGTTATTTTGCAACTGCCAAAGTAATGTGTCGCCGGGGGTGTTCATTTTGTGCTTTACTAGTAGGTGGCATTGGCCATGATGACAATTTTGGTACTAAAAACTGAAAGAAAACATGGCGTGCCTCGTAAGGTGCTCACCTATTTTCCCAGTGGGTTGAAAATGATTTATTTCTAAGGTTGCCATCTGTTTATAAAATTAAATTCTACTTGAATTAAGGGAATTTTGTAGGGAATTGAAATATGTCCGACAATTTTGGCGTCTAACGAAGAGATGTAAGAAGGTTGTAGTTTTCAAATATTTTGAAGAGGGTTGGCACCTGTTTAAAATGTCGAATTTAATCAACATACATAACATTGACAAATACATATAAGCAGGATATATGAAATATAAAAATATGGCTGTCAAACGAAAGAAGTTTTTAGTTTGAACATTTATAAAAATTTTTAAGTGCTTGAAGAAGAAGGTTGCCGCCTGTTATAAAAGATAAAATCCAAGTTATTTAATAAGTTAAATGAATTATTACAGTATGGGTATCGATCGAAATGTTTTGAAGAAGCTTTATTTCTAAATGCCACCTGTTTAAAAAATTAATATTCAATTGCATTGAGAGAATTGGGTAATTGAAATATGTATCACAATATGGATGTCAGACGATTTTTCAGAAGGTTCTAGTTTCAAAATATTTCGAAGAGGGTTGCCACATATTTAAAAAAAACTAATTAAATAAATTATTCACAATTTACATTTGTATATGTATGAAATATTAAAATATGGGTGTCAAACGAAAGAGTATTAAAGTAATTTGTATCAAAGTTAGTCAATTCAAATTAATTAATAAGTTAAATAAATTACAGTGTTATCTGGCTGGAGTGAACCACCCGATGCTACGAACACCTCGAAAGAGTGAACATGAAAATTTTTCCATTGAGTACTCTATAGATGGAACAATTTTGAGTCTTTGTAGAGTGAACAAAATTTAAAACCAATTCCTTCCAAATTCAAAACTGTAACGACAAATTTAATGACAAAAAGGTTAATCCCTTCGCCAGGCCGACCCCGTAAATCCCCGTATCAGGGATCTCAACTCGGAGATTCGGCAACTAGTGAACGTACATAAGCGGAAGAAGTGGGAAGACCATCTGAAGACCTGTCACTTCGCCTCTGGTGTGAGCAAGCCTTGGTCAACCGTGAGGTGATTGTCCACCGGGGAAACCGTCCAACAAAGGAGAGTCTTCTCGCTTATAGCTCACCTTTCCCCGGTAGCGAAGACACTAGAGGCCCTTCTACTTCCGCACTACACAAATCACTGGACCCCAGCAAAGCATAAGCATGGGTTCCGTAAAGTGCACAGCACAACAACAGCACTTGACGCCATAAACTCCCAAATAATTCGTGGCCTTAACCGAAACCCCCCATGTGAGAGAACTATTCAAGTAACGCTACTAGAAAACAAACGGTGGACTGCGAAATACCTGAGTGGTCGTCAGTGATCTTTGGAGAC